GCAGCCTTGCACATGCTATTCATTTGTTTGGGATGATCACCCCTCAGCTCTCAATGTGAGCATCATTTCTCCAGGGAGGGCCTCCTGAATGAGCAAAATCCATCTATTATATGCTCTTGTGGTACCTTGTATCTCTTTCTCATAGTCCCTATCATAGTTGTATTTCTACATTTGCTTGTATTTCCTTTAGACCATAAGCACCATGGGGACCAAAGCCGTGTCTGCTTTTGTTTGAGAGTACGTCTGGCACATGGTGTGCATTAAACCTTTGCTGAATAAACAAATAAATTCATACAAGACAGGCTAAGCTGCTTGGAACAAAGTTTAAGTGCTCTGAAAGTACAGAAAACAAATGGTTAAAGTCAACCATTTGTAATATGGCCAGACAAAAAGCAAGGAAGAACGGTGTATGTTGGGGGGAGAGGGGGTGCAAGAGCACGCTCACAGTAGTGGAGACAAGGCTGCCCATGTTAGTGAGGCCATAATGAGTGAGGCTTGAATTCCAAAGAGCTTTAATCCACTCATATAAACTATGGGGATCTAGTAGATGTTCTTGGAGGACTCAAGTGAAGGTGGGAAAGATTAATCCAGGTAGGCTAACCTATCATCTGGGTAGAGGTTGGTTGAAACTAGGCAGAGAGGTAGCAGGCCTAGAGGCAAGGAGATGGTTAAGATGCTGGGATTAAGCAATAGCACATGGTGATTAACTGGGTTTGGGAAATGAAGAAAGTGTAGAATGCTTTCCTCTGACCCCACCTTACCCTAAGATTTGTAGATTGGAAGATCCAGAAACGAGGACTGGAGAAAGACAAGACATGATCAGAGTCTTCCTAATTCTTAAAACACACAATCTTATTTCTCCCCTAAGGACTTCAAATAATGAAATAAAGTATTAGGCTGAAAGAAACTTAGGCAGACAGTACAGTAATTACCCAGCATCTCATCCCACTATACTGTTGTTGAGGCAAGAGGTTTAATAATTAACATCTGGTTATACCTCCAGGAGGTAGTCAATTTCTATTTCTACCAGGATTCAATTAGGCAAAACAAACCTGCTCCATGGTATGAAATAGGTGAAAGAGCAATGGACTAAGAGTGAGGACGCCAGGGTTCCCGTCGTCCCAGCTCTCAAACCAACTCCACTGTGTCAACTTGAGATGCCTGACTTCCCTGGACACAGATTTCCTTATCTGTAAAACTGGCTGGGAGGAGAAGACAAGGACTGGGAGTGATTTCTACTTGTGTTCGCAGAGCACTGGGGTTCTGGGAGGTACTTCAGGGAGCCTCACGGCAGGGGGGTGGGGGGCAAGGGAGGAGTCGAGTGGACAGTCCCCTATCCAACACCTGAGAAGCTCTACTTTTTACTATCTACTGTATCAGGGACCAAGATGTCATTAGGTTTTCAGTATGATCCCAACCTTCACCCCAACCACCAAGGGGAAGCTCCTGGTCTAGATGCTAAGAATCTTGTCCCTTAGAAGTCAGCTGTCTGATTTCCTAAAGAATAATATAAGTTGATAGCTACGTGGATCTATAAGCTAACACCCCTCTAAGATCTTTTTAAATATTCACAAAAGCACAAACAACACACAACCTTTTAGAATTTGGCAGTGGGGGGGGTGGGGGTGGAATCTAAACTTTTCATTCCAGGAATAAACTTTGAGATTGGATGAAGGTAACCAGAGCTATTAGCCAATAATGCAAAGAGCTATAGGAACTTACTTTAGCCTTATCTTAAGGCTCTGTTTTAAGCAGCAAATATCACTTGTGTGATAAAAAAAACTTCTTTCTTTTTAAGGAAAAACAGTTTGGAGAATTACACACACACAAAACCCTCTGACAATCCATCTCTCCACAGCTCCAAACATAAAGACTCTGGTAACTTCACAGGACTTCCTGACCTCAGAGGCTTCATCGAGGCCCCAAGCCACACCAACTAGCCAGTACCCACATCTGACATAATCTCTTTCCTGACCCACACTTCGCAACTGCAGAAACTTGGATGCTAATCAGAGAGCTGGGTTGACTTTTCTTTAGAAACAGAAGAGAACAAGGTGACAGACCAAAATGAATATGTTCTAATGCAGGGTTTTCCAAAGTTCATACCTCGGTTTGCAGTGGGTCTTGAGAAAATCAACTTACTGGATTTTTCTATTTAATACTGTTAATTTGGGGATTACGTTCTATGAATTTAAATGTTATTAAAGTAATATTTAATGTTAATTTGTTATTCTTTTATCCAACATAGTAACTGGTTTTGTGTGTGTGTGTGTGTGTGTGTATACCTTTTGTTCCTATTTTATAAATCTCATATATGTGTGTATATGTCACAATGTAAACTGTATTTCTTCCTGGACTTAGGATCTTTCCGTGTTCAGCATTCTTTGCTTCTAAAATGTGTCACGCAGGTAGGCTTCCATTTAACGAATGCCAGGCAAATACAGCAGTCTGTATTATTTGACCACCTCAGTATCCTGGCTACTCACACTGCATGGTTGGTTCGTGAACACCTGGAGCTCCACTTTCTGAAGTCTGTCCATTTAGCAATTTGCTTACTTTAAGAGTATACCCTTTAGCCACCAGAAAACTACTAGAGCTAATCAATGAATTTGGTAAAGTTGCAGGATACAAAATTAATGCACAGAAATCTCTTGCATTTCTATACACTAACCATGAAAGATCAGAAAGACAAATTAAGGAGACAATCCCATTCACCATTGCAACAAAAAGAATAAAATACCTAGGAATAAACCTACCTAAGGAGGTAACAGACCTGTACTCAGAAAACTATAAGACACTGATGAAAGAAATCAAAGATGACACAAACAGAAGGAGAGATATACCATGTTCTTGGATTGGAAGAATCAATATTGTGAAAATGACTATACTGCCCAAAGCAATCTACAGATTCAATGCAATCCCTATCAAATTACCAGTGGCAGTTTTTACAGAACTGGAACAAAAAGTCTTAAAATTTGTATGGAGACACTGCCAAAGCAGTCTTCAGGGAAAAAAATGGAGCTGGAGGAATCAGACTCTCTGACTTCAGACTATACTACAAAGCTATAGTAATCAAGACAATATGATACTGGCACAAAAACAGAAATATAGATCAATGGAACAGGATAGAAAGCTCAGAGATAAACCCACACACCTATGGTCAACTAATCTATGACAAAGGAGGCAAGGATATACAATGGAGAAAAGACAGTCTCTTCAATAAGTGGTGCTGGGAAAACTGGACAGCTACATGTAAAAGAATGAAATTAGAACACTCCCTAATACCATACACAAAAATAAACTCAAAATGGATTAAAGACCTAAATGTAAGACCAGACACTATAGAGCTCTTAGAGGAAAACATAGGCAGAACACTTTTTGACATAAATCACAGCAAGATCTTTTTTGACCCACCTCCTAGGGTAATGTAAATAAAAACAAAAATAAACACATGGGACCTAATGAAACTTAAAAGCTTTTGCACAGCAAAGGAAACTATAAACAAGATGAAAAGACAACCCTCAGAGTGGGAGAAAATATTTGCAAACGAATCAAAGGACAAAGGATTAATCTCTAAAATATATAAACAGTTCATGCAGCTCAATATTAGAATAACAAACAACCAATCCAAAAAAGTGCAGAAGACCTAAATAGACATTTCTCCAAAGAAGACATACAGCTGGCCAAGAAAAGCTGCTCAACATCACTAATTATTAGAGAAATGCAAACCAAAACTACAATGAGGTATCACCTCACACCGGTTAGAATGGGCATCATCAGAAAATCTACAAAGAACAAATGATGGAGGGGGTGTGGAGAAAAGGGAACCCTCTTGCACTGTTGGTAGGAATATAAATTGATACAGCCACTACGGAGAACAGTATGGAGGTTCCTTAAAAAACTAAAAATAAAATTACCATATGACACAGCAATCCCACTGCTGGGCATATACACAGAGAAAATGGTAATTCAGAAAGACACATGCACCCCAATGTTCATTGCAGCACTATTTACATTAGCCAGGTCATGGAAGCAACCTAAATGCCCATCGACAGACGAATGTATAAAGAAGATGTGGTACATATATACAATGGAATATTACTCAGCATAAAAAGGAATGAAATTGGGTCATTTGTAGAGACGTGGATGGACCTAGAGACTGTCATACAGAGTGAAGTAAGTCAGAAAGAGAAAAACAAATATCATGCATTAACACGTATATGTAGAATCTAGAAAAATGGTATAGATGAACTGGTTTGCAAGGCAGAAATAGAGACACAGATGTAGAGAACAAACGTATGGACACCAAAGGGGGAAAAAGGGATGAATTGGGAGATTGGGATTGACATATATACACCAATATGTATAAAATAGATAACTAATAAGAACCTGCTGTATAAAAATAAAATTCAAAAAAAAAAAGAATATACCCTTTGGTTATAATCATTGTGTTTGAAAAATGTTGAGCGTTCAATATTCTTCGTAAAAATAGAACAGCTTTTAAAACATCATGCTGGTGATTTAAGGATTGGGTTTTATACCCTAATGGGATTTTTGTCTGTAAGGCTTCTTTTATTATTCTTTTGACCTAGATGACTGCTGGCTACAGAGTCCTAATTCTGAGGATGGGGTGCCCAGGGTCAGAAGTGGGAATTAGGAGTTACAATTAGGAATTGTAAGAGTGGTGTTTCCGCCTCTATCAATTTGGCTTTAGAGACCAAGGAGTGCCTAAAGAGCAGGAGGAGAAGCCCAGAGGCTCCTGGCTTCTTCCTTAGTTGCACCTGTTTCGGAAGGGCCTAGGCTAATAAAAGAAGAAAACAACAGGTTCCCACAGACAGAAACTCGATTCAGTCCCCGCAACTCCTGGCGCCCGTGCCAAGAGCCACCTGAGCGCGGCCCGGGCCTCCGCTGTCCTGCCGGTGGCCAGCTCTGCAAGGCCAGGCAACAATGGCTTCCTCTCCCCTTGGGCCCCTGGTGGGACCCATTTTCCCACGGCTCACCTGCTGGGAGCCAGGTGAAGAGCAGCAGCCAAGGTGCGGGCAGCTCGGGGCTCATTCCGGCCCTCTCCGTTCCCTTTCAGCTCAGGGGCTCCAGGGACACTGTGTCTGTCTTCATCAGCGGCCGGTTCAGGGCGCACCACTTCTCCTAGGAATCCCCCCGCTTTCCGCTCACTGCGTGCGGCGCGGCGGGAGGACCGGTCCGGCTCCGCGGTCAGGTACCGCCCGGCTCCTGTCCACCTGGGAGCTCCCCGCGGCTCCGCCTCCCGCTCCGCGCGCCGCCGTTTCCTGCTCCGCCCCGGCCCTGGCCCGCGGCCACCTTTCCTGCCTGCCACCGCCCCGCCCAGGCAGGCTGCCAGGTGATTCTCCTCACCGAAACACCATCTCGTGCCACTCTCGCCTCCCACCTATAAGAGCCTGTTACCATTTTCCCCAGAAGTTCTTGGGAAATCTTACCCCTAGCAAATTTCTCCCTCACTCTTCGTAGAATTATGTGGATATAACTTTCTAGGGAATATTTCCTGCCGTATGTTTCCATTCACTCACACGTGCTTGGAAAACATTTTTTCCCCCACTAAAAACACACTAATAGGAAGTTTATGTGTAATGATTGTTCAGGTTTTCTATAAATAAAGATGGTGGGGTGTGAACTAGAGAAATAGACCTAATTTTCCAAGTTATAAAAGAAAAGGGTGCTCATTATAGAAAAGTTAGAAAAAATATAAATTAATGGAAGAAAAAACCGTGCTCCCACCATCCATAGTTAGGCATCGTTAATATTGGTTTAGGCCTTATTATTTGCCATCCTGCATGCAGCTCAGCAGCCCCTCACAGACCTCAGCCGCCCAAGATGAAAGATTCTAGGTCTTTTTTGCACCAGGCCACCTAGGATGTATTCCCAGTCTCTCCTTCTTCCTTGGTAGGAAGTAAGGGGTAAAGCAAATCAGAGGAGGAAGGCACACTTGCCTTCAGGAACCACCCAACCAATGACATCAATTTGGAAAGTGGCATGAACACTGGCCAATATAAATAGACAGCAAGCCACCTTATACACCTCTCCTTTATCAGGGATTTCTCACTGTGCTCCCCGTTCTGTAACAAACACAATTCCCCCCTCCTCCTAGCCACCACCTTTTTCCTGAAGAAAATAGTTATAAAAATGCATTGAACATGGTTTCTGCCCTCAGGGAGCTCCTAGTCTGCTCACCGACCTTACAAGTCAGTATTATTTCTCATAAGTGTATCTCCTGTTTTGCTCTGCCAGGAAGGCTCCTCTTCGCTTGGCACTACTGGAGTCCCTCATCTCGCCTCCACCCAGAGGAGCATCCTTGTCCTGAATCTGACTGGAGGTTTCAACCCAGTCTCTTCTCTCCAAATCCCCTCCTCCCCCCTCCACTCCTGTGTCTGGCCTCTGGTTCCCCTATAGGGCCTCTCCACTTTAAATAGTTTTCTTGTAGCCTCTTCTCTTCTAAAAAGTAGGAAGTAGAATCAGGAAATGCATGGCCAAAGGCAGATGGCACAGTGTGTTTAGGAGCCTTTGGATCTTCCACAGTGGGATCCCAGTACAGCAGGAGCAGCAGGATACAATGTGAGTGAGGGGTACTCCCCCAACGCCTTCCAGGGATCCTGTATGTGCTCCCAGGAACCTTGTATGTGTTTGAGAGTTTGTGACCCTGAGGGATTTGTGTGATTCCTGGCTTTGAGAATTGTTCTAGGGAAATTTTCAATCCAGTCTAAAAAAGTATGAGCCCTCTCCTTCCCACACCTATACCTCCCCTAGCCCTTGCTTTGGTATTAAGGTCATTTTGCTATTCATTGAAGTCAGCATTTCTCCATGTTTATTCCATGGAACAGTAGTTCCATGGAATGTTAATAAATAGTATATGGAAAAAGGGCTCTTTGATCAAATATATTCAAGAAATGCTGGGTTAAACTAAATGAAACATTTTTCCAGGACCTATCAACCCCTTAGGGTGCTAATATACATTTGAATTTCCAAGAGAATATGTCATGCAGCATTGTTCAACCACAAAACCCTTTTTTCTCATACATATCTTAGGGCAGATGTCCCATGGAACATATTCTGGGAAAGCCTGGTGGTCTACCCCAAACATAACTGGGGGAATACGTTGAGACTTACATAGGAACAACAACAACAAAATAATGACTTTAACAAAGGTTATTCCAAGTGTAGTAGAATTAGAAAATTCCCTTATTTTCTCTTGAGAATCACTCATTCAACTGAACATCTACCTCCATTTCTTCTCTTGTAGTGAACACTTAGGTTAACTTTATATGGTCCTCTGTCTACTATGTGCATCTTTTTTTCTTCACCATTTATTACATATTATGTACCAAGTAATGTTCTACGTGCTTTACATGCATTATCTCATTAAATTCCCACAATAACTGTATGAAATAGGAACTTACTATCAATCCCATTTTACGGAATGGAAGCTGAAATACAAAGAAGTAACTTGCCCAAGGTGACAAAGCTAGTAAGTGGTGGAGTTATGAGTCTAAGTGAGGCAATCTGATTCCAGATCTTGTGCTCTTAGTTATTATACCACCATGCACTCTCACCTAGTTACGTCGCAATGTATATAGTTGACTCTATCAGCGTGTGCTAATGCAGTTTCTTTCCACATATGCCATTTAGCTCCAGACAAAGAAAAACTCCATTCCACTGTCATGAGCTCTCCTGGGCCAGTCATTTTGCCAATATGTGCCATTGATTCAACAAAGATTAGATAAGATTATACATTTGGCTCAGAACAAATAGTTTTTTCATTGCTAGATATAGAAGTAAAAATCATTTGACCTGCTGATACTGATTGAGACAAAAGTGTCCTCATCTGTAAAATAATAATAGCTACTATTATTAAACACTTACATTGTGCTAGGCACTATTCTAAGCACTTTTTGTTTTAACTTCAATAATTCTTTCAACAACACTATGAGGCAAGGACTAACACTGACCCCATTTTATAGCTGATGAACTTGAGGCACTAAGATTTAGTTATTTACCCAGGGCCACCCAGTTTGTAAGTAATAGAGCTGAGATGCAAACTCAAGCAACCTGTCTTCAGAGCACACACCCTTAATTACTACTCTCGTTATGCTGTGCTTCTATGTGTCGACTGGTCCAGGCTCTGACCACAAAGTACTGAGCTTATGATCTCACCCTTTATAATTGCACTTCCTAGTTGAAACTGTATCCATGAATGTTCTGAATACTGAGTCTATATGTGCATATGCATCTGTATTTGAGAATACTGTGATATTTCTATATCTATATGTGTATTTATCAAGAATGGAGAAAACAAAAGAACATGTAAATAAAAATTATGCCTCAGGAAGTTAAAGGTAAAGGAGGGCAAGAAAATAAAGTCACCAACTGATGCTGCACCATTTGGAGTATGTCTTATTCATCTTTGTATGCCTGGCATATAGCATAGTACCTGGCATATAGGTAGTGCTCAATAAATATTTGTTGAGCTGTTAATCCATAGTTTCTGGAGGAAGTGACATGTGATCTGGGTTTGAAAACAAATAAGATTTTGCCAGAGTAATCCAAGCAGAGAGACCAGTATGTGAAGAATCATGGAACCAGGAAATAGCATAGCTGAATTATAAGCACTTGAGTTCGGCTAGACTATAGAGCAAGGTGGGGAGTGGTAGGAAAGTATGTTAGAGAGCTAGCCAGGGTAAATAAAGGGCCTCGCATGACCAGCTGGATTACTAAGACTTCATATAATAGACACTGGGAAGCCAGTGAAGGGTTTTAAGCTGGGCGAGGCATGATCAGACTTGCATTTTAGAAAAATAAACTTGGTAGCAGTAAGAAGAATGGTAGGTGAGAACGGAGATGAAAGGCAGGGAGACCAGTTAGGAAACTGATACTATAGTCAAGGTGGGAGATACTAAGGGCTTAAGCCAGTCGTTGGTGTTGGGAATGGAGAGGAGAGAATACTTGGGCAGATATTTCGAATATAGAATTGACAAGATTGGTGATAAATTAGATGTGGGAATTGAGAGAAGAATATAAGTTTCTGACTATTGAGCCTGGGTGGATGGTGATGCCTTTAAAGAAAATAGATATATAGAAAGGTTTTGAATCACTTCAAACACATTGCACCTGAGAGAATAGTGGACCATTCAAATGAAAATCCTATGGAGGGTTGGACATCTTTATTAAGTGCAATCTGGTTACATTAGGTTAGTAGGAGCTGCACAACTATATAGGGAGGTCTGGGTTAGTAGGGACTGAGAAACCTTCTGGATTAGTGGGATATAACAAGACAATTTATCTTGGAGTAGGGCTAAAAGCAGAAGGTGGTAGAATCTAGTAAAAGGAGTTTGAGAACAAATATGTTTATTATTACCATTCCTAGTCAACATTTTACAGGATATTATAACTAGTATAATAAGAAAATTAAAAGTCTGAAAATGAAGAATAAAGATGTTACATTATGATTATCTACACAAAACATTGAAGAGAATCTATAAATTATATATAAGGACTAACAAGAAAGGTTGCTGGAAACAAGGTCAATATACTAATGTCACTGGTGTTTGTATATACCAACAATATCCATTTAGAAGAAATGAATTTAAAATATACATTTGCAATAGCAATAAATCTATAAAGTAACTAGGAATAAGTCTAAAAATATATGTGGAACAGCTTTATGAAGAAATTTGAAAAAAGGTACTGAAGACATTTTTTAAAGATTTAAATAAATATAAAGATGTACCATGCTCATAGATAAGAACACTCAATATCACTAAGGATGATAATATTTCCCCAATTAATCAAATTCTATATATTTCTAACAAAATTCTGAAAAAAAATCTCTGTAAAACTTCACAAGCCATTTCTAAGATTAAAAGGAAATTATACGGTGATAAGTAGCTAAATAATTTTGACGAAAAATTAGGAGGAAGAGGGAATTTGCCTCTTCAAATGATAAAGCTAGAGTAATTAAAACAATGTGGCACTGGCATATAGATAGACAGACAAATGGAACGTAAAAGAGATTCTGGAAATAGGCACCCATAATAATGGGAACTTGATATATAACAGAGATGGCATTACAATGCAAGGGACAACTATAAACTATTAAGTAAGTGATGCTGGGACAATTAGTGTCTGTTGTATTAAAAGATAAGGTGTATCTTTTCTTTATACCACATACAAAATTCCAAACTGATTAA